CCATTAAAAAATCAATGTGATGATCTGGACAAGGGGATCAAGTGCACCCTCAGTAAGTCTGCAGACAACACCAAGTTAGGCAGGAGTGTTGATCTGATTGAGACTAGGAAGGTCCCACAAAGGGATCTGGATAGTCTGGACTGATGGGCTGAGGCCAATTGCATGATGTTCAACAAGGCTGAGTGCTGGGTCCCACAGGCACAACAACCCAATGAAGTGCTAAAAGCCGGGGGAAGAGTGGCTGGAAAGCTACCCAGTGGAAAGGGACCTGGGGATATTGGTCGATAGCTGGCTGAACATGAGCTAGACACGTGCTCAGGTGGCCAACAAAGAGCCAACAGCATCCTGGCTTGTGTCAGAAAAAGCATGGACAGCAGGTCTTGGGAAGTGATACTCTCTCTGTACTTGGCTCTGGTAAGGCCCACCTCAAATGATGCACTCAGGTTTTGTTCCCTCAGTACAAGAAAGACTTCGAGGCCCTGGAATATATACAGAGAAGGGCTACGAAGCTGGTGCCTGGAACACAAGTCCTTTGAGGAGCAGCTGAGGGAACTGGGGTTTTTTAATCTGGATTCTTCCACTGGGAGAATTCTTCCAGTCTTCTGGATTCTTCCACTGTAGAGAACTGTAGAGTTGGGGACTAAGATGTATATTTACAACTGAACTTCGAAGAAACTGCAAAGGCTACTACACTGCAAAACATACACACACACAGAGAGAACAGAGCACTGTGTTAATGAATAATAGCTATCAAACTAAAAGGTAAATACTGATTCTCACAGTCTCACCCCAAATGCTATTTTAGCTTCTGAGCAGAGGCCTCTCAGCCAAAAAGGAGACAAACAGGAAGGTGACTGGGAAATATAAAATTAACTGCCCAGAAGCAGGCACTAGAGACCAGCTGCTGTTTATTATTCAAGGAAATTCAGGTTTGTTGTAGTAAGAAGTAAAGATACTGACCTGCCAGACTCAACTACTGTGCCTGAAGCTAGCTCTGGAGAAATGAGGGAATGAGATGAAGACATCTATAGAGCTTCAGTCACAGCCAGAGTACAAAGGGGCATTCAGCTTTAAATCAGATATCAGAAAAAAATAAAACAAGGAGGTGCAGCTTCAGAATGGAAAGACTTCCTAGAAAGCTGTAAGAGGAGATCTGGTTTGGCATTAACAGCTTTACTACAAAATTGTTAAAGTTGAGCTGCCTACAAGAGACACTTCACACATTCAAGTGATGCAGTCAGTGTGAAGAGTAATGTGTTATGTCACTGTTTCTCACCTCTTGTGCTCCATCATAAAGCTAGCAGTTTGATGGAGAAATTGCAGCATTTTCAGCATAAGATTTAATTATTTAAAAGGTGCAACAAATTATTATTTTTTTTTTCTATAATAAGCAGTGAACAGGTGGAGCAGCATTCAGGAAAACACAGATCTGCTATTGCTGGCAAATTCCCCTTTTAGAGTTCTTATACAGCATCAACTCTAGAATATGAGGCTATTTTCAAGTCACTCAGGATACAAATCCAAACCACAGGCAATCAAGAGAACACTAGTGATAAGCTATTTAAAAATTCACATCAGAAGATTAAACCAACAGGAAAGGAAACACAAGGGAAAAGACTAGTCAACACATTAGCAAGAGGAAAATTGCAGACCATCAATGAATATGGGCTTATTTGAGAGAAGCGTGCTATTCAAGGTGGAATATATTAGACTTTTTTTTTTTCCTCTAGAGGACTAGAAGAATAATAAGAAGGAGACTAACATCAGGGCTCGCAGAGATGCAAAGAAATGGAAGAGAAAACAGACTGTACTTCCCAAGGCAACTCCAATTATCAGAACTGTTTATGAGGAGAAGAATTAGATTTCCAAGATGGAAAGTATACTTGTCTTGGACAGCAATATAATCAGTATTGACAGTGATGAATGAATACAAATGATGTGCTGTGGGAATTACCAAAGAGAAATCAAACTACTTTTAATACGACACAATAGAAACCAAGAGGCATTTGTCACTGCAGTCAAACAAGTTTACCTCCAGACTGCTAAGGTCCTTCATGAGTTTAAACTCCTTGATTAAACTTCAAAGTTAACCACGTAAAACTTTTGCCTTCAAAGTAGAGTTTACAGAACTAAAGGTGTGATTTTCTCCAGCAACCAGAGTGAATGGGTGGTAATCTGAAGAGACATAACATGTGCTTCACTGTTTACTTTGTCTTACAATTCAAACCTTTGCAGTAAACCTGCACAGTTTCCCTACCCAGCAAGCACTGACACATGTAATTTAAATTCTTAAAATATGTTCTGCTTTTGATTACAGCATACTTTAAACTCACTGTTATTGATAACCCAGCAACTGTATTCTTCAAAGATGAGGAGCTGGGTTCTGACAGTCAATCTGACAGCCAAATATGGCACATCTTTCTCTTAGCTTATCCCCAAAAAGTCTTTTGAAACAAGTTTTTAAACATGTGGCATCTGCACATCCTCTAATTTTTTTGACATAAAGTAACCAGAATGGCATTGTCTTCCCATCCTTCCTTAATCCTTACAAGGGTTTTCTTCTTCACGCAACAATATTTATCGCCATGGTAATCAAAACTATTATTTCTTCTACAATCCATATACATTCTTATGCTGCACTTGTATCAGTATTTAAGTACTGTGGCACTTATGTCCTTAAATCATCCTGTATCAAATATTTGCCTTTTCATTATCTCTTCAAAGGGACAAGCATTCATTTTTCTTTTTTCTTCTCAGTTAATTATTCACGTTTTCTTATTTTGATAGAGAAGGGAATGAAAAGCCTGCAGTGGTCCCAAGATGTCTGGGAACAACATTCAATATTAAATCAGATCAATTCTGTTAGACGTTTTTCCAGAAGATATGCTAGTATAGTGAGGAGTTAATCCTGATTAAGTTCTACAGGTGAGGTTATACATAAAACTGTAGTGTTCTGCCGTTATCTTACAATATAACAAACTATCAAAGTGACATACCAAGATTGCTGAACATATTTAACCCATCATATATCTCACCATGTTATATTCCAAGTTTTCTTCACTGTCTCAACAAATGCTGAATGCAATGAATATTTAAAACCAGTAAAAACTGTCCTCCTAAAGAAAAAGTAGGTGCAATAGAAGTCCTTAGCAGAAGAAGATAATGACAATGGAGTCATAAAAATACAGTTTAACAGGCAGTACAGTAAAATAAAGCTGAATTAATAATCGAAGCATGTCAAAGCACATAATGCCATGCTTGATGTACCCCAGAATATGGTTAGCCCTTTTGGCTGCCAGGGCACTCATATTCAACTTGTCAACCAAAACCCCCAGATCACTTTCCATGGATGCCCTCCATATTCTTCTAGGACTTCTCATCAGACTGAGACAAGAGGATCAGCTATTTTAATGACTTATTAATTAGAGCTTAAACATGGACATGAGGACAGGTCTACCTGTTCTTGGTGACACAATGAGGCTGTGAGTCATCTGTTTGCACGTGAATGACCTGAATAGCCAAAAGACATCAGGAAAAAGAGTGCAGAGTGCAACCTCCTCACTTGAGCGGAAGGCTCAACTACTCCCATTTCACAGTAGAAGCCAGAAGAATTGTGTTGCAACATGGCTGCTATGCCTGACTCTCCTGACTATAAATTGAGTTTAAACCAACTGGTTCAGTGTTCAAGCACTATATCTGAAGTTAAGCAGACAAATACAACTGCTATTTTCAGAGCTCAAGTAGCCTGATAATAGATCATACTGTTTGTTCAATCCCACATACCTTTCCCTTCTCTATAATTGTGTGCAGTTAGCATGATTTATTGAAAGGAGCTCTTCAGCTCTGTCTGAGCTCTCATACCCTGTAAACTAACTTTCTGAGAGGCACCCAAACCACTCTGGTTACCTTTCATGATAAAAAAAAAAAAATCAAACAAAATACAGGGTGGAAATTATGTTCTTAGCAGTTCAAACAGCAGGAAAGAAAAAATACAAAACAAAACAACAACAAAAACAACCAACCAACTAAAAAAAAAAAAGAATGGATCTAGCAGCTCAGATATGTGTTAAAAACAGAATAGACAAGGAAGTACTTTTGGTGTAAGAAAGCATGAATTTACAATTCTGCACATTATAGAATGATGTTACACCTATAGAATAAATTATTAAAGATTCTACAACTTGATAAAATAATATCTTCCAGATCTAAGCTGAATATACTGATATCCAGAAAATTCCTTCCTGAACATTTGTCAGTGAATAAACTGCAATTTACTTTGTTATATTGTATAAGTGTCTCTTTGCATAAACTTCCATTTAAAATGACTGAGAATGTCATTCTAGCAATTTACTACTCATTCCTCTTATGTATATTGCTATTTAACAGCTAATCATTTTTTAAGTTCATTTCACCTTTAACTTATCAGTCTAATCCTAATATATTACAGGAGCAATGCTGCAGTCATTACTGCAAAGTATATTTTAATAAGAAAACCTGTTCACTGAACATTCATTGTGAAAGGTAATTAGGCTACTTCTTGGATCAGTGGACACAAGACTGCATGATGATATACTTCACCACATTTTTAAAATGATTTATACTATTAAGCATGCTTTGCACTTCTGAGTTCTTGAGCAGTTTTCAGAGTTTTGTGGAAACCTGAAAAAAATGTATGTTCTATATCCCTCATGGTGGAGGACTTTAAATGTTCTGTGCCAGATAATGCTCAGAGGGGAAAGTTCTGCCACTGTTTTCTTTTCCATACCTGGTTAATGTAGAATTGTATTATGACTTCTTTTACAGTACAAACATTATGAAGAGGTTAAGAATTACTTTGTTCATTCCAAGCTCACTCCATGTACCATATCCTGATCCAGTTAATGTAACTGCTTAAAATTCAGCATATATTTAAGAATGATTGCTACGTTCGGATGAGTTTTACTATTACCTGTATACTTCTGTATCGTAATTCCCACATCTGTAAATTCATTTTTTTTTTCTTTTTGGTGAATCTTTTCTCAGATGCAAGGCTGAAGAAATTTTCTTATGATGGCATAAAAGCCTTTAAAGAAAATATGAGAAAGAGGATTCAGTCACAATTATTTTGGTTCCTAAGATACAAGTACAACAACAATGACAACAACAACAACAAAAGCATGTTGCCCGTTTTAAAGATTGTTTGGGCATCTTCTCTTTACAGAAGTAGCATTAAAAAATATATATTTCCAAATATTAACTTCAGCTCAGCCATACATGGCACAATATAATCATGAATCTATCTTATTATTTCAGCAGCAAATTATGCTGCCACAGCTAGTGTTAAAAGCATAAATTCTCAAAGTTATAATTCTTTATTATTCTGCATTTATTTAGAATTGATGTCTATAAATAGAACTTATTGCTCTGGTTCCTTACAATTATTGGAGCTCCTCCCAGACACCTGCAAATAGTCAGCTATAGCTTTGGCTTGCTCTCAGTCTTACATGAAAATACAATGATTAGTATTTTTAAACTTAAGTGAGATTCTGATGTTGAAAAACATGAATATAGAGCATAGTTAATGCATGTCCAAGCACAGCGGTTTTCAAATGCATGATCATTTTTTGCTTCTAGTAGAAATTAACAGGTTTACAAGTTACAATTTCTATTAATGCTATTAGTTACAGCAGAGTAGCACAATACATTCTGAAGTCAAAAAGAAAAAAGAATATGTTAGAGTTGACGTAAGGTCATGAGTGACTATTGAGGCCAAAGAAAGCTAGGATTGTAGTGTCTCTTTGGAGAAGATTCTTTATACTTGAGCACATCATGATTCTATACTCTTGGACTCTGGAGTTATAAAAAGTTGGGTTGCCTATTAGCAAATTAAAAATCTCCCCTGTCCTACCACAAAGCCCAGTGGGAAAGAGTAAGTCATTTGTTAGTCCAAAGACAATTCAGTTCAAGAATCATTACTGACTAATCTTATCCATTTACTAAAAGAAGTTTTCTAAGCACATCATGGAAGGGAGGTGGCCTTTTAAAAAAGAAACTGTCATGGGTTGTGTTCTCATCACAACAGAAAGTAGTATCAGCTGATAGTTTTTGTTGCTGGTTATATCCTATGTTTCCCATGAGATTTTGGAAAAGTTAAAGACATCGGTGATGCTTCCACCCCTCTGTATATGAGAGGAGAGGAGGAGGGTAGCCTAGAATGATCAAATCCACAGCAACGGTAGTAGACACAGTAATTTATTGGTAATGGTAGAACTCATCTTATGCTGAAGAGTGGAAAGAAAAGTGATAAATTGGATGTTTCTAGAAAGTATTGCTTGGAAACTAACACTTACAGCACAAATGTGGAAATGACAACACCTACATGTTCTGCGGAGGTGCTTATTACCATGCATGCCTCCCAAAGACTTTTAAAATAATATTAAGGATTTCAATTAAAATAAACATCTGAATGCTGTAGAGAAAGACAGACAGGAAGAAACAGTGAATTGGTAGTCAAAACAGGAAAAACAGCAACCAGACCAGAATATTAGTTGTATGGAGAGAAAGAAAAATTTCTCCATTTTAACTTGTGTTCGGTTCTTGATACCAGGTTAGGGGGTCATGCAGTACTATGGAGAGATGGGGAACAGAACAACAGATGTAATGCTCGTTTTAAACCAGGTTCTTCCAGACCTACCTTAAAACACAGGACTCAGAATAGCCCTCTGTATTGATTTTGATTCTTTGGCTGAAGGCTTATGTAGCCTCTGGAGAAATACAGAGATTGCATTAAATATAATTAAATGAAACATAGCAGAGAAAGTACTGCAGCAAGGTCCTGATCCAGAACTATGATAAACTAATTAAACTAATTAACGTTGGAAACAATATTCATAATCTGATTATTACATTTTAAACTTGAAAGGGAAGACTGCATCATGTTGAAGGGAATGTAGCACCAATAATAGATGCAATAATGTTTAAGGCAAACCCACCATATAGTCACATTACGTCCAAACTTACCACCTGAGAGGCCATGATATGTGCTGAATTGTCTTTGTTAACTCCATACGTGACATACATATTTTCAATAAAAACACACGGTAATATTTGACACAGTAGGCCAAGATACAAGGGTTAGCGTTTGCAGGCAGCCTGAACACATTTAGATTAGGTATGTGGAAGAAATTCTTTACTGTGAGGGTGTTGAGGAAGTGGAACAGGTTCCCCAGAGAAGCTGTGGATGCCCCATCCCTGGAAGTGTTCAAGGCCAGGCTGGATGGGGCTTTGGGCAGCCTGGTGTAGTGGGAGGTGTCCCTGCCCATGGCAGGGGGTTGGAACTGGGTGATCCTTAAGGTCCCTTCCAATGCAAACCATTCTGTGGTTCAATGATTTGCAACCATGTTTTTTTTTTTGTTTGTTTGTTTGGTTTTTTTTCCAGTGTTGGAGGGGTGCTATTGTTTGGGGGTGGAGCATTTAATTCCCTGTGAGACCTGTCTGGTGGGTTCCACTCTTTGTCTGGCTGATTGGACTGACATAGGGTCTTAATTAACCACAAATTCATATTTTGCAAGTATACCCCAGAAGTTAGTCTGAAAACATGGATTTTCTAAGCAAAGTAAGAGACAAACTAATTAATTTTGCATGACCTGGTTCAAGGCTGAATTAAGTCCAGCTATTTATTCATTTCGAGTCACAATCTCCTGTGTCAGTTACAATAAGAAATTGCTTTCTCTTACTCAGACTGACAATAGCAGGCAAAACTCTTCCAACACCTAAGTGCCTGCAAGATCAGAGAAAGCCAGGATGATGGTGAGATGCTGACTGTCTTGCTGGAGAACAAAAAGCAAAACTTCCATTCCAAGCTGTGCCCCAGCTGGTAAAAATAAAAAATAAAAATTTGAGTAGCGGGTAATCACTGAGCACACCCTTGCATCACATCTAACAAAAACTGGAGTCTTGCTCAGGTTTCATCACAGCAAACTGGCATTTAATAAGAATTACATAACAAATAGCTATTCTAGCAGCTAGTATTCTAATTTTCATTGCAGAAAGATTTTTTTCTATGTCATTTGCCTAGTTTAAAAGAGCTCTGAGATTAAGCAGATGATTTGAACTTAAAGCATCCTCTGCCAGCTACTGGAAAAGTCAAAACTTTACCAGATAAAGACTAGACTAACATAGCTTGTGGTGCTATTAACAGAAAGGAAAAATCAGACACCACCTTCAATTTGCACTAGGAAGTAAATTGTTCTGTTCAGTTAAACTTTAAATAAATGCTGATGAAACAAGTCACACTTTCCAAAGGTCTAAGTGGGAGGTTTTGCTTGCAGTCAAGGTTATCAGTATCAGATTTTCAATTTAAAAAAAAAAAAAAAAAAAAGAGTACAAAGAGTACTCAATTTCATTTTTCTGGAGGAGAAAAGACAATTAAAAATATCGGAAAACAAGCACAACTCTTCCTTGTTTATTTCATCAAGTAGCACAAGTTTAGATGTTGAGGAAACCAAATAATCTAAATCAGGTATAGACAAATTGCTAAATTCAATTGTGTTCAAGTTACAGTTTTGAGTAGCAGATGTACCCCTGGCCAAAATCAGCAGCTGTACAGGCACAATATTATAATCAGACAAATTCATACACATTATCTGCTCCTAACAGGCAAGAGTAGGCCCAGCCACACAGAAATGCACAGGACTGATTTACTTGAAACATGGATGGGCAAAGCCAATAGCAAGAGGTACGTGGAGTAGTTTACATCATATTTCAGTCCCTTTCACCAGTTGTTACTTGTTTGTTTGGCATGTTTCAATTCAACCCAAACCCAGGCAAATAAAGTAGGAGTCTAATATTCAAGTCACTATTTCACTATTATTATAACAAACTTATTTTAAGGCAGTATTTGGAATTTTTTCTTGAACTATAAAACTGAGTTTTTTGAAAGGTGTTGGTGTAATATATCAAAACTTTTTTGTTTTGTTTTGTTTTTGTTTTCCATCAAAACAGTGGCAACAGCAGCTACTTTTAAGGTTATCTCTGCATACATAAAACCCTTTTTTTCCCCTATGTAGTAAGCAATAACAACTTTTTATTGCACTGCTTACTGGTAGAAGTCAGGAAAATGAAATACCCAAATCAAGCACAGGAATACTTCATTTTACTATGACACACACACACACAAAGCACAACACAAACAAACAAAAAAAAACACCACACACACAAGGAAAGCACTAATCTTCAGTATTTTAGTAGTATTAATATGATGCATTAAAGCCAAGTATTTGAAAGAGAGAGAAGATTTCAGTTTTCCATTACTCTGTCTCAGGTACCCATCAATTTGCAAGCAAGTAATTCAGACTGCAAACCCAAGGTTTCCAGTGTGCCTAGGTCACACTGGATGCAAAGTGGGCTGTTGAGCAGCAGGCAACAGCTTCCCTGGCTCCTTATTCTTCCTCTGTATATTTAAGTATATGGCAGAAATGTTCACATTCCAGCTGTGCACTGATTTTATGCTTGCTCTAATGATTTAGGATTTGATCTTCAATTGTTATAAACAAATGTTTTCCAGTGGAAAGTGACTTTCACCTGACAGCAATGAAACATTAACATAAAAGTTTTAAAAAATATATCATTAGAATTTTTTGTGCTATTAACTTCATTTTAGGCAGAATAGATTTCACTGGCAATACAGACAACACCCAGGAAACCTGTTTAAAATAAATCACGCTAAAAATCAAGTACAGTGTCTAAAATAAAGGTAAGTTCAACTCACATATTTTTCTCCATTAAATCCATGTTATTCCATCTTCCTCGTTTGTTAGTTTTACAACCAAGACATTCTTGGCATTGCAGAAAGGCCAGCATTTTTGTACTCCCTAGTGTTGCACAGAATCTGGCTGGGTACAGCAGAAGCAATATAGTTCAAAATTACACACTCATGCTTCCTAAGATTGAATTGTTTGGTACCTCTGTGGGAGCATAAGCATTCATTTCTCTGAATTTATTGTAAGCCATCAGAAGTAGTATCTCAAGCACAAAAAACACCTTTCACATAGAATTAGTCCTTACGCAAATAACTGCTACTAAGATCATATGGTAGTTTTATTATCATTGCAAATGGATAAAAATTGCATTTCAGAAATCCCAGTGTTTTAGAATCATTTAGCAAATCAGGCAAAAGAAGAATCTGTCCCATGGAAGGCAGTTATCTTCAAGTTATTTTGCCTCAGAGCAAAAAGGAGCCCTTTCAGAGTGCTTCTCCTGTCCCCCATACAATGCTGATACTATGAAACACCTGTGCAGATAAAACACTGTGACAGAACCAGGTGAATGGACCTTGGTTACCTTTCTCTTCAAATGGCTGCTGGAAGGAAATAGTTCCTGTAGTGGGAGCAGCCTTCCCCTACATGAAGAAGCATGTCTTGATATACTCTAAGGGAGTAGAGAGCCAGCCTCCAAGATTTCATTGTACTAATTAGTTTATCTTCACTTTCACCTTTCTTCAAACAATCCAGTGGGAAGAAGAAGCCAGAGCAATTTCATACAGCTAAGGCCATTTTTTATACTTCATTGCTTTGCAACACAGCTTGATGCACTGGCAACAAGCCACAGTCAGCATTCAAGTTACAGAGAATTTCTCTGCGATAATGAGGAATCCCTTTTACACAGACTTATTTCCTTTAGTTCAGCTTCTACAGAAACACTGAGGTAAGTGTGGAAACATTAATACTCCAGTATCAATTCTACCTAAAAGATCTCACATACATGCTTTCTGATAATGTCTTCCTAGTGATTATGCTGAACCACAGGAAGCACTGTGATAACATAGTGATACGTGACCAGAAGATACACTTGATTCAGAGTTTTCTCATGAAGTTTACAGGACTAGTGGCCTGCATTTTATTTTCTGCAAGAGATACGCTGTGTGGACTACTAGTTTTCAGAGAAACTGAATTCATTTGTATTATAATGCTAGAACTCTTCAAGCAAAATATATGTTGAAGTTTTCATTACCCAGAAAAAACAGGCTCCAGTAGGTTGGTGAAGGGTATTTAATAAAGTATGCCTGGGAGGGTAATGCAGTTCTGAGTGCAGACAACTGGTCCTTACAGACAGACCAGACTCCTCAGTGCTTTGTAGAACCTGTTCCTGTGATTCTGCCTTCTCCATTTTTGTCAATGCCTAATAAAATTGGAAATTAACCTCTTTTAAAAAGCTACTACAGAAAGTATTAAAAATGGAAGCTTCATTATCTGATTCATAAAATGCTATTGAAAAATCTAGTCTTTAAAAAATAGGCAAATTAAACCAAGTGTGCAAAAGCTGCAGAGGGGCACACAACACCCAAAGAAATGAGCTGAATTAACTTTCTCCCATGAGCTGAAAGAAGGTGGAGAAAAAGGCCCTAGGCAGAGATTACACAAATGTCTTCCTACACAAGAAACACTTAGGCATACAAGGTGCTTGATATGTATTATGTCAAACAAATTTCAACATTTGAAAAAAATGCTCTTTTAAAATGGCCTCTACTAGAGTAACTTAACTTCCTAACTTCCATATAAAGCAGTCTGTAGATTTAGAAAGAAATGTTGTAATGTACAATTACAGAACCATTATAGTAAGACTTTCTTGGGTGGTGAATACGTACAGTTAAATATTTCAGTGAGGAAACTGAGGACTTTTTATACACAGAGATCTGCAGCATAAGTCCTCTTATTTCTGTGTGACTGCACTGATCTTCCCAATTGCCCAACCACTTTTCATCCCTAG